CCGGAGAAGACTTCTTACCCCCAGAGCTATTTACGTCCAAAACCAGCAAACTGCACCAAAAACAGAAAACTGAACAGCACAATGAAGGCACACCTCCACCTTTCCTATTACCCGACAGGAAAGTGAGGTTCCAGAAGGATCGGCCTTCAGTCAGAAGCGCATCACAAGGGTCTCCCTAGGAAAGAGAATGCTGGGATGTGGCCGCTTTCTGATTGGCTGCCACTTTCACAGGCACGGGTGACGGACTTGGACCAAAATTGGCACGCATAACCCCCACGACCCCCTTTATGTCCTGGTTTGGGGGAGAAAGGACAAAGGATGATGGGATTTGTAGTACCTTCAAACCCTTTAGTGCCCACAAAACACTGTGGCCCCCAACAAAGACCAATAAGTCCAAACTTGGCACACATCACCCCCCTGATCCCCTTTATGTCCTGGTGACATCGTGTATTAATCATCATCATAATAATAAAAACCAATAATTAGTTTTGAAAAATTCTAATTGTATTCTGAAATAATAGTATATTAATAATAATAGACATTAATAATTTTGAAAACTCATAGCAATTGCATTCTGAAATAATAGTATATTATTATCATTATTATTAATAAAAACCAATAATTAGTTTTGAAAAATTCTAATTGTATTCTGAAATAATAGTATATTGTTAATAATAAACATTGATACTTTTGAAAACTCATAGCAATTGCATTCTGAAATAATAGTATATTTTTATTAATTATTATTATTTCAGAATGTATATTATTATCGATAATAAAAACCAATAATTAGTTTTGAAAAATTCTAATTGTATTCTGAAATAATAGTATATTGTTAATAATAGACATTCATAATTTTGAAAACTCATAGCAATTGCATTCTAAAACAATAACATATTATTAATTAATTATTATTATTATTTCAGAATGTATATTATTATCGATAATAAAAACCAATAATTAGTTTTGAAAAATTCTAATTGTATTCTGAAATAATAGTATATTGTTAATAATAGACATTAATAATTTTGAAAACTCATAGCAATTGCATTCTGAAATAATAGTATATTATTATTATTGATAATAATAATAATAAAAACCAATAATTAGTTTTGAAAAATTCTAATTGTATTCTGAAATAATACTATATTGTTAATAATAAACATTGATCATTTTGAAAACTCATAGCACTTGCATTCTGAAATAATAGTATATTTTTATTAATGAAAAGTAAGAACTAGTTTGGAAAAATCCTCCCAACTCTATTCTGAAATAATAGCCTAGGAATGTGTGGACGTCTCGCGAGAGCTGCCCCGGTCCCATTGCTTAGAGGCGCTGAGGTCTCGCGAGAACTCCGCCCTCTTTCACGCCGCTATCTTCCTCCCTAGCAAAAGGGGAGAAAAAAAAGAATAAGGAAACCTCGCGAGAGCTGGCTTCGCTTTCCTTTCTTGCGACCTACCAAACTCTCGCGAGATCTTAGAGACAAGGGGGCCCAATAAGGCGAAGGAGAGGAGCGGGGTCTCGTCGAGCTCTCGCGGTATTTCAGGAGAGGAGCCTGGGCGGGCCGCCTCAGAGGGTGTCTCTCCGCCGGCCAGGAGGGCGCCTTCCTCGGTGGGCTTCTCTCTCCGTGGAGGGTCGGGGGGGCAGGAAGATGGACCCGGCCGGGACAGGTCAGTGCCCGAGGCCCGTGAGGCCTTCCCCTTTCCGTGAAGCCTGCCCTCGAGTAGTCCCCCTCCTTCAGGCCTCTCTCTCTCTCTATTGGAAGCCCTGCGGCCTACACAGCCAGGCGCCGCCTTCTTCCTTCTGGGCCTTCCTTCAGGGGCTCCCCATTCTCCTCAGGCCTTGCGGGAAGTTGAATGGGATTGATTAGGCCATATAACAATGCCAAACCAAACCAAAAGGCTTGATCAAACTTGAGCTATGTCCCAGCAGCATTCTCTCCTGACATTTCGCCTGCATCTGAGCCTAATGGCATCCCCAGAGGTTCTGTTCATGAGAAAGTGGAGTGTATACATTATTATTACAATATAATAATATAATTTAGTTTGTGTCCAAGGCTTTCAAGGGAATAATAATAATAATAATAATAATTACAACAAATAAATGTTATTGATTAGGCCATATAACCATACCAAACAAAAAGGCTTGATCAAACTTGAGCTATGTCCCAGCAGCATTCTCTCCTGACATTTCGCCTGCATCTGAGCCTAATGGCATCCCCAGAGGTTCTGTTCATGAGCAAGTGGAGTGTATACATTATTATTTCAATAATAATTTAGATATATACACACACACACACATATAATATTATATACACTACAACATGATTTAGTACAATATATACTATGATATACTGGTAGTGTATTATATGCTCCTTGGTTGTAGATGAACTATAAATCCCAGTAACTACAACTCCCAAATGTCAAGGTCTATTTTCCCCAAACTCCATCTGCGTTTATATTTGGGCATATTGAGTGTTCGTGCCAAGTTTGGTCCAGATCCATCATTGTTTGAGTCCACAGTGCTCTCTAGATGTATACAAGTGGAGTGTATACATTATTATTACAATAATAACATAGTAATTATATCTATCTATCTATATGTATTATACACTACAACATGATTTAGTACAATATATATTACGTTATACTGATAGTGTATTATATATATTGTGGTATAATATAGTACAATATAATAATATAATTGTCTATTTTATATTAATAACTAGCGGTCCCCTGCCACGCGTTGCTGTGGCCCAGTCTGGTGATCTGGAAAATAAAGTAATGAGAAAGTGTTGGTTTCTAATATAGGTAATGTCTTCATGTTTATGGGTAAATAGTATTTCTTGCTGTTTCTTTGTCAGTGTTGATGTAGAGATTGTCTGGAACAGGCAACATATCATTGTCCTTCTTTAGGGGTCCCTTTCAAATTTTTGATACTGCATCTGACATATATGTATGTGTGTGAATGGCTGGATGGCCCTTTGTCAGGAGGGCTTTGAATATGTTTTCTTGCCCTGGTGAAGGGAGTTGGACTGATAGCATTTCTCAACCTGGGAAGTCAGGACCCCAGGGGGAGGTCACCAGGGGGGTGTCAGAAAGGTCGCTAAAGACACCAGAAAACACAGCATTTTCTGTTGGTCATGAGGGTTCTGTGTGGGAAGTTGGCCCCAATTCTGTCGTTGGTGAGGTTCAGAATGCACCTTGATTGTAGGTGAACTATAAATCCCAGTAACTATAACTCCCAAATGTCAAGGTCTATTTTCCCCAAACTCCATCTGTGTTCATATTTGGGCATATTGAGTATTCGTGCCAAGTTTGGTCCAGATCCATCATTGTTTGAGTCCACAGTGCTATCTGGATGTAGGTGAACTACAACTCCCAAACTCAAGCTCAATGTCCACCAAACCCTTTCAGTATTTTCTGTTGGTCATGGGAGTTCTGTGTGCCAAGTTTGGTTCTGTGTTCAAGTTTGGTCTCACAACCTCTGAGGATGCTTGCCATAGATGCAGGCGAAACGTCAGGAGAGAATGCCTCTAAAACAGGGGTCCTCAAACTAAGGCCCGGGGGCCGGCTACGGCCCTCCAAGGTCATTTACCTGGCCCTCGCTCAGGGTCAACCTAAGTCTGAAATGACTTGAAAGCACACAACAATCCTTGCTCATCAGCCAAAAGCAGGCCAACGCTTCCCATTGAAATACTAATAAGTTTATATTTGTTAAAATTGTTCTTCCTTTTAATTATTTATTGTTTTAAAGTATTTTTGGACTACAGATAAGATATGTGCCACGTGCATAGGAATTCATTCTTTTTTTTTCTTTTTTTTTTTTGCCAAATTATAATCTGGCCCTCCAACAGTTTGAGGGACTGTGACCCGACCCTCTGTTTAAAAATTTTGAGGACCCCTGCTCTAGAACATGGCCATATAGCCCGAAAAAACCTACAACAACCCAATTGTGATGGTCATCAGCCAACTTTGTTCCTTCAGCCCTCTTCCCATGTATCTAGGAAATGCAAACACAGATCTAGTTCTTGTTGAAGAATAGGATTGAGGATAAATATTTGTCATTTCCTTGATTACCAGGGATTAATTATTTATATATTTTCTCTTTTTTTAAAAAACGTTCTGTGCACATTCTGTCTTCTCCCTTTCCATTGCCTATCTGACACCCCTTGAGTCCCTTTGGGGAACTGGGGTGGGATACAAATAAAGATGATGATGATTATGGCAAGTTTTCTGTAGAGAACCTATGTGGTTTTTAAAAGCTGTACGAAAGAACATCCAGTCATCCCTCCTGTTGACTGTGTCAGAAAGCAGGGTAAAGGTGCTTGCTGATTTATAGATTTTCCATGTTATTTTTTTTTTCAAAAGCAAAAAACCATTCTGTTGTTTACCATCCATTAGATTCCATGCTCTCCCTCCCATACTTTCTTTAACCTTTTGCCTTTTCTCTCCATTTAATAAAACCTCAAGGATTTTTATGATTAGGAGGCAAAGAAAGATATGAAGGGGCGAGTTGATAGCCCTGTTTGGCAACAGGAGGCGTGTGTGCTCAAGTAAAAGAGGAAATGGAAATAATGTACTTGGCAGTGACACTCTTTCTGTACTAAATTAAAAACCTTCAATGCCACAATGGTACTGATTGTTGGCAGCCGATCATTACTTCTCACTAGCAAAAATTTGAATATTCTTTTCCTAAAAAGACAGTCATTTTTTCTTGGATTCAGTGTCAATGGATACAAGGCAAGGGAGAATTTTAAAGAAAAGCCTCCAAAGCTTGAGAATTCACCTCATTTGTGAATGATTGGGTTTTCGATAAAAGGGAGAACATCACATTCCCTGATATATGAAAAGCAATAGTTTAATTGGGAGTGGAATTCGCGTATATACTCGAGTATAATTTGACCCAAATATACTGTATATACTCAAGTATAAGCCTAGTTTTTCATCCCTTTTTTTAGGCTAAAAAAGTTCCCCTTGGCTTATACTCGTTATTTTTTACTCTATTTATTATTATTATTATTATTATTATTATTATTATTTACTGTATTATTATTATTACCTTATTTTATTGTACTATTATTTTATTACATTTATTATTTTACTCAATTATTTTTATTAAATTTCCATTATTCACTCTGTTGTTATTATTGTTGTTACATTTATTATTTTACGCTTTATTATTATTGGAAGGATACGTAAGCACATTGACGTTGAAGAATGTTAGAATAATTTTTTCATCAGAGTTGGACAGTCTTATCTTAAATTACAGTTTTATGTAAATATACACAAAAACATTTAACGTACTGATGATTATCAGCAGCAGCTGCATTTCTCACCCTCAACTTATACTCGAGTCAATACATTTTCCCAGTTTCTTGTGGTAAAATTAGGTGCCTCGGCTTATATTTGGGGCGGCTTATACTCGAGTATATATGGTAAGTCTAATTTTACCACAAAAACTTTGGAAAACGTATTGACTTGCGTATAAGCCGAGGATGGGAAATGCAGCAGCCACTGGTAAATTTCAAAATAAAAATAGATACAAATAAAATTACACTAATTCAGGCATCAGTAGGTTAAGTGTTTCTATAATATTTACAAAAAAACTGTAATTTAAGATAAGACTGTCCAACTCTGATTAAACCATTATTCTAAACTTCTTCAATGTAAGTGTGCTTATGTATCCTTCCAACAATAGAGTAAAATAATAAATGTAATAATAATTGAGTAAAATAATGGAAATGTAATAATAACAGTAGTACTAAAGTAAAATAATAAATGTAATAATAAAAATAGAGTTAAAATAATTGTAGCAGTAATAATAGAGTAAAATAATAAATGTAATAAAAATAATAGAGTAAAATAATGTGTGTAATAATAATAGAGTAAAATAATAAATGTAATAATAAAATAGTTAAATAATAAATGCAATATTATAATAGAGAAAATAATGTAAATGCAATAATAAACATAATGATAATAATATTACAGTTAAATAATAACAACAAAGTAAAATGATGAATAACTTTAACTACAAGAAAGGAGATTCCATCTGAACATGAGGAAGAACTTCCTGACTGTGAGAGCCGTTCAGCAGTGGAACACTCTGCCCCAGAGTGTGGTGGAGGCTCTTCTTTGGAAGCTTTTAAACAGAGGCTGGATAGCCATCTGTCGGGGGTGCTTTGAATGCGATTTTCCTGCTTCTTAGCAGAATGGTGTTGGACTCGGAGGCCCATGAGGTCTCTTCCAACTCTATGATTCTATTGCTCAAATATATGCCGAGGGGGACATTTGGATAATGATTTAAATCGGTGACCACTATTTATTGTCTGTTTTTATATTGTTTATACGGTTTTATACTGTTTTATATTGTTGTTATTATTACATTGCTGTTAATTGTATATTTATGTTTTGATAAGGGGGCCATGGGGTGCCACTTTGTTAGCCGTCCTGAGTCCCTTTGAGGAGGTTGAGAATGGATGGGATAGAAAAGCCGTAAATAAATAAATAAGAATTAAATTTTCAGCCTGAATAATGGGCTGAAAAATTCGGCTTGTACTCAAGTATATACGGTATTTATATCTTCAAGGTCTATGCTTTCTTAAATATTGTTTCAAAACAAATATTATCCACATTTGCATGTCATTAAATTTTTTTAAATATTACCTCTAAAGTCTAAACCATAAATAATCTGTACTATGTTTAAAGACAACTCGGTGGTTATGGTTGTAAAGAAAATTAATGGCAATATGTATAAGATATAACAAGCCATGTTACTGCCACTTAAACTGTAATCAAAGTGTATAGTTTGTATAATCAAAACTCCCCAGTAATAGTAGGGTTTTCACTTTCCTGTCCTTGATGCTGCCCTTTATAATCAGGGACTATGAAACATAATAGTGACAACTCAGCGGTCTTCTGTCTTTCAATCCACCTAAACCTTGAATTTAATCATTTAAGCCTCGTGGAGCTTGTACATCTGATAAGGAGGGAAAGGAGGAAAAGAAAGAAGCCTGGGTGTGCTCAGGGCCTTTCTTCAGATACATGTGGTCAGGATTACAATTTAGTATTATGACCTCTTTGTAGAGTTCATTCCTGTTTCAGGGTGGAGAAAATCTCCCCAGTTGAAATGCACTGTGGCCTTGTCATCCCTCCAGATGTTGTTGCTTCCAAATGTAGCTATTGTATAATTAAAATTGAGAGTTGAGAGGATTGGAAGGGAATGAATAGGTTTAATCTATTACAAAGTAGCTCATGACAAGGGATAGTAAATTGCACTCAGCTACTCTACTTTGTATTTAGAATTGACCCATACAATTCTAGTACAGTGCTGTCGTTGTTTAGTGAATATTTACCTGTTATATTGTACTGACATAATTTGGGCTGTGTAAAACCACAATCTCATGTACTCTCGGTCATTTGTAAGTCTTAACAGTTGCATTATCACGTAATGCAGCATTACTCAACCTAGGGGTTGGGACCCCTGGGGAAGCCGGTCGTAAGGTGGTTTCAGAGGGGTCGCCAAAGACATATATTTCAGACTAGCCATCCCCTGCCACACGTTGCTGTGACCTAATCTATTGATCTGGAAAATAAAGTAACGAGAAAGCATTGGTTTCTAATATATGTAATTTCTTTGTGCTTGTGGTTAAACAGTATTTCTTGTTGTTTCTTTGTCAGTGTTGATGTGGAGAGTGTCTGGTTTGCCCACCCTGGAACATGCAACATATCATTGTCCTTCTTTAAGGGTCCCTTTCAAATCTATGATACTATATCTCTGTGTGTGAGAATCATATCTATATCTGGATGGCTCTTTGTCAGGAGGGCTTTGATTACATTTTCTTGTCCTGGTGAAGGGAGCTGGAGTGCATGGTCTTGAGTATTTTCTATTGGTCATGGGGGTTTTGTGTGGGAAGTTTGCCCCAATTCTGTCATTGGTGGGGTTCAGAACACCCTTTGATTGTAGGTGAACTATAAATCCCAGTAAATACAACTTCCAAATGTCAAGGTCTATTTTCCCCAAACTCCATCTGTGTTCATATTTGGGCATATGGAATATTCGTGCCAAGTTTGGTCCAGATCCATCATTCTTTGAGTCCATGGTGCTCTCTGGATATAGGTGAACTACAACTCCCAAACTCAAGGTCAATGCTCACCAAACCCTTCTGGTGTTTTCTGTTGGTCATGGGAGTCCTGTATGACCCGTTTGGTTCAATGCTATCATGCTATTTGATTGTAGGTGAACTATAAATCCCAGAGACTACAACTCCCAAAAGACAAAATCATTTTTTTTTTAGTGTTAGGCCCTTCTCTTCCTTTTTGGAATCAGACGGCACATCCTCCAACCAAAAGCCCTCCTCCGTTGTGATTGGCCGGCCTCTCAGCCAAGGGGAGGACTGTTTCTGACACAAGAGGGGAGAGGAGAGCAGGCGTGCTTGGCACATGACAGTGTGGTACGCATGTGCAGCCAAGGGAGAGGTTGCAAGGCTGGAGGGAGGATCATGCCAGTGAGCCCCTTCAAGGCATGGGGGTTCTGTGTGGGAAGTTTGGCCCAATTTTATCATTGGTGGGGTTCAGAATGCTCTCTTATTGTAGGTGAACTATAAATCCCAGCAATACACCTCCCAAATGTCAGGCTCTATTTTCCCCAAACTCCACCAGTGTTCACATTTGGGCATATTGAGTATTTGTGCCAAGTTTGGTCCAGATCTGTCACTGTTTGAGTCTACAGTGCTCTCTGGATGTAGGTGAGCTACAACTCCAAAACTCGAGGTCAATTCCCACCGTGGGAGTTCTGTGTACCAAGTTTGGTTCAATTCCATCATTGGTGGAGTTAAGAATGCTCTTTGATTGTATTATTATTGTATTTATTTATTATTTGAAACATTTATATTCTGTCCTTCTCACCCCGAAGGGGACTCAGGGCGGAGCACAGCATATATAAGGCAAACATTCAATGCCAGGACACAAATTCATATACACATACATAAACATTAAAAGCATTTATCTCAATATTAAAATACACCATTTAAACCCTCCTGGTCATCAGCGTCAAATCTCATTGTCCTGGTAATCTTTCCTATTGCTGCTTTATTGCCGTGTCCCGAAAGCTTGGTCCCACAGCCAAATTTTTACCATCCTTCTAAAGGACAAGAGGGAGGGGGCTGACCTGATCTCACCAGGAAGGGAGTTCCATAGCCCCGGGGGGGGGGGGGGCATCACCGAGAAGGCTCTGTCTCTCGTCCCCACCAATCGCTCCTGTGACAATGGCGGGATGGAAAGCAGGGCCTCCCTGGAGGATCTTAATCTCCGCAATGGTTCATAGGGAGAAATGCATTCAGAAGGTGTACTATAAATCCCTGCAACTGGGGTCTGGGGGTCATCACAACATAAGGAACTGTATTAATGGGTTGTGGCATTAGGAAGGTTGAGAAACACTGACCAAATGGGAACCTGGGTTTCTAGGATTACCACAAACCCAGAGCAGTTGGAATCAGAATTGTTTAACTTCACTTTGTATCAATATATGTGAATATGGTTTGTGTGCGGGCTTGCAATCCTGGCTTTTCTTGAGAGCAACAAAGCGAGATCCAGGGTTCTACAAAATGCATCAATTACTGGATTATTTTAATTCTCTTATGAGCTGTTATTTATCTGCATGACTTGCCTTTCAGACCGCCTGTTCCAAAATTTAATTGAAACATTGGATGAAAACACAGACAAGAGGTTCTACAATATTGCTAAACTAGGAGGCACCAAATACGGTAACAATTACTTTTCCATTGCTTTTTCATGTCTTTCTTATATGTGTGACCTCTGTGTTATAAAATGTGTTGTGGGTTAGTGTGGACTTCTGTGTTTGTGAGAAATACCGTTCAAAGCGATGGTCTGTGCAATGTATGTTGTGTAGCAATTTTAATCCAAGACTGGTTGTATCATTTTCATGTGTGAAGCTTGTAATTTAAGTCACAACTTGGACCAGTAATTCCCAAAGTTTGGTCCTCTAGGTGTTTTGGGCTTAAACTCCCAGAAGCCCTAGCTGACTTGGCCAGCAATCAGGAATTCTGGGAACTACAGTCAAACACATTGGGACAACCTAGTTGGTGCAGAGAAGCAATCCACAATCATGTGGGCTTTGTCTTCTTTTGCCAGTGTTAGAAGCCCCATTGTGTGTTTTGACACTTTGATGTCTCATTTTCCTCCTGTTCTGCCTTGTTAGCTACAGAGTTCATATCTGAAATGTATACAAATCAGTGCACTCAGTTTGATATGCTTCAGAGATCCATTACAGTGCTGCCTAGTTATGGCCCAAGGCTAGTCAGTTGCCCTGCGACTGTGACTCATGGAGCAAGAGTGGGAGAGCGGGGCCTTTTAATAAATACACACCGTCTGGTTTCCATCTGCCAGAACCCATGAGGTTAACAATCATGTTTGCTAAGCAGCTCTTGTTAGTTTTAGAAGAACATAATCAAAACAATGTTTGGTGAGCTGTAGCTTCTGTCTTTTGTCTGTTTTGTACCATGGAGCAGAATTAGGCTGTAAGCCTAGACACATTTCCCATGGAGTAAGGCTGGTCGAATACAGTCGGGCCTATGTGTGAGAAACTATAGGTTCTCATGATTGAATTGTAGCCATGAAGAAATCCACTAGTACAGTGGTTCCCAACCTTTTTTTGACCAGGGACCACTCTCTAACTTTAGTACCAAAAGGGTTACGAATCAGTTTTTAGTCAACTTTAGATTTGGTTTGGTTATTTGGGGTTCTGATTCAGAAATTTGCATTGGATAGACCACATCAGCTCTAGTTTCTGATACAGAGCATGTACAGAGCATGGGATATGGAATATGAGAGCATGCGCCATCCAGTAGTTGCCATCTGCTCGCCCACAGAAAATCATATTTAATAATCTAGAGCTTTATTTATTTATTTATTTATTGTGTCAGGCAATCGAAGAGTTGTATTACATTTTTGACAGAACAAACAAAAACATACAAAAGACACAAAGTTTGCAAGCTTGGTAGTTGATTAAATGTCCTTTGACCAGTATCTGGCCACTTGGAGTGCCTCTGGTGTTGCCGCAAGAAGGTCCTCCATTGTGCATGTGGCAGGGCTCAGGTTGCATTGCAGCAGGTGGTCTGTAGTTTGCTCTTCTCCACACTCGCATGTCGTGGATTCCACTTTGTAGCCCCATTTCTTAAGGTTGGCTCTGCATCTCGTGGTGCCAGAGCGCAGTCTGTTCAGCGCCTTCCAAGTCGCCCAGTCCTCTCTGTGCCCAGGGGGGAGTCTCTCATTTGGTATCAGCCATTGGTTGAGGTTCTGGGTTTGAGCCTGCCACTTTTGGACTCTCGCTTGCTGAGGTGTTCCAGCGAGTGTCTCTGTAGATCTTAGAAAACTATTTCTTGATTTAAGGTGTTGACGTGCTGGCTGATACCCAAACAGAGGGATGAGCTGGAGATGTCTCTGCCTTGGTCCTTTCACTATTGGCTGCTACTTCCCGGCGGATGTCAGGTGGTGCAATACTGGCTAAGCAGTGTAATTTCTCCAGTGGTGTAGGGCGCAGACACCCCGTGATAATGCGGCATGTCTCATTAAGAGCGTGGTATAATAATAATAATAATAATAATACTTTATTTATATACCACTCTATCTCCCCGAGGGGACTCAGAGCGGTTCCCAGGTAACATCACAAAGCATACAAAATAAAAACAACATAACCATAAGATTAACAAAACAAAATATAAGCATAAAATTGTCGCCATAACACACATATATTAAAAGTAATCCTGCCTGTTCAAGGCAATTAAAAAATTTAAAAGTCTAGGGCAATATTTGTGCAAGCTCAAAAATTCTAGGGAATTAAGTGGAATGCTATGGCAGGCAATAGTGATATTAGGTACGGGTCTGTGGCTATTCATTCCAAGGGGTAGTAATCTTTTGTAGGTAGTCAGTCTCTCCCCTGCTCGGTACTATCAGAGGGTTTTGTGAAACCAGTCGCTCTCATTGCTGCATGGTTTCAAGGCAACGGTGTAGTAATGGTGAGGCTGCGAACCATATTTCTGTTCTTGCCGATCAATTATGATTCATGGACCACAGGTTGGGAACAACTGCACTAGTGGGACTAGTATCTGAGTAAACAGAAGGATTGTATATTTAGTTAACTGTCTTACCGACAGTAAAATTCTAGGCAGAAAAGAAAGAATTAAATTAGGTTTTGATTAATCTAAATCAGTGCTTTTTAACCTTTGGACCGCGGACTGCTAGTGGGCTGTGAGGATGAAAATCCGGTCTGTGAACCTCCTTCCTCTTATTATATTTCCGCTCCTTTCGCACCACCTGCCACTCTTTCCCTGTCACTGACCAGCCCCGACCCCTTGAAAAATTCAGAAAATTCAGAAAATTGCATTGGATAGAGCACATCAGCTCTAGATTATTAAATATGGTTTTCTGTGTGCAAGCTGATGGTAACTACTGGATGGCATATGTTCTGTATCAGAAACTAGAGCTGATGTGGTCTACCCAATGCAATTTTCTGAATCAACACCCCAAACAACCAAACTAAAACTAAAACTGGTTCATAACTTTTTGGTAGTAATGTTGGAGAGTGGTCCCTGGTCAAAAAATGGTTGGGAACCACTAATCTAAATTGATGTTTTCACTCATTTGGCTCATTTAAAGTCCTGGAACAATGTTCAAAATGCAGGGTTTGTGAATGTGGCTTAATCTTATAAGTCTCTTTTATAAGCTATTCCTGGATAAGCAGCTTCTAATGAAATGCCTGAAAAATAGGGAAGGACCAGCACAAGTTCCCCACCTTGTTCATGCCCAGCATTTTTAATTTTTTAATTTTAAATTTGAATTGTTACATTTGGCCCGGCCATACGTTTTAAATGCTGTATGTTTTGATACTGTTATTGTTATTGCTTATTGTGTATTTTCTGTTTTGAGTTTATTTTAACTGTTTTGTATTATTGTTATTGCTTTTGTTTATTGATGTGCTGTGGGCTTGGCCTCATGTAAGCCGCACCGAGTCCCTTGGGGAGATGGTAGCAGGGTACAAATAAAGTTTTATTATTATTACTATTACTATTATTATTATTATTATTATTATTATAAATGTAATAATAGAGTTAAACCATAAATGTAATAAAAATAAAAAATAATAACAGAGTAAAATAATAAATAACTGAAGTATTAGCCTAGGAGGGCTTTTCTTATCCTTAAAAAAGGGCTGAAAAATTCAGCTTATAGTTGAGTATATATGGTACATTTGCTGAATCATAAGTGAATTTCTGTTTAGTAGCCATTGGATGAATCACTTCATAAAGGAATAATGACACAACCTGCCTTGTAAAACACAACTAATTTAAAGCAAACCAGCACACCCTGGAGCAACATTTTGTGCTCTTCAGAGTTGAAAGGCGAGTGTGCAGACTCGTTAAACGTAATAAGTAGTGTTTGCCACTTCACTGGGTTGCTTTATTGCTTCCTGTCATGAATTATTGTTGAACAGAATCACTACTCGGTCTGAGTTGGTGGTGGTTTGAGCATGTAGGTAAGACACCTGTAGGTAGAGCACCTTTCCTTAACCAGTCCTATTCCTTGTCTTTTCGCAGATATCCTGCCTTATTCCATACGGGTTCTGTTGGAAGCTGCGGTCCGCAACTGTGATGGCTTCCTTATAAAAGAAGAAGATGCTATGAACATTTTGAATTGGAAAACAAAGCAGAACCATGTTGAAGTGCCCTTCTGTCCTGCCAGAGTCCTCCTCCAAGACTTTACGTAAGGCACATGGTTCTTATTTTATGTTTCATCTCTCTCTAATTAATTCCAACAGCATGGGCATGAGCTCAATGTTCAGGGTGGAGACTCCACGGGGAGTATTAAATAGTCAGGCATTCAACTATTCATGTAAGTTTACTCTGGCAATGACTTTACCTAAGAAAAAGTTATTGAAATAATAGAGTGACTTAATGCTGCTCTGTAGGAGACTCAGTGTGCCGAAGCACATTGCGGAAGATTGAGATCTATGTGCTAACATCCCCACACAATATTAATTGTACTGTGTCACCCTTTGCACATATATGTAAGCATAACAAAATGCCTCATACTGAGTCAGTGCATGGGTCAGTCAGTTGATGTCATGTGACCCATAGAATAGAAATACACGTGTTCTGTGTAATATCTACTGCAGTGTAAATAATCAGAACATGCAAACTTTGTGTTTGTACGCACCATGATATTCAGAATCCCCAGACAGCATGGCCATTGCTAACTAGAGTTAGCTGTGATTTGTCATTTTTCCAAGCTGTGATTGGTACCATATAAGATGCCTCTCCTTGGTTTGACACTATTGATTAAAGACTGGCTTGGGTACCCAGCATTGCACGGGTTATTAGAAGAAGTCATTTTTATTTTACAAAATGCATGGGGTTGTGGGTAAACTACAACTCACATCATGCCAGATTAACTCCTTGAAACTCTCTCAGTACTTAAAGTGTGTCACGTTCGCTGTAGATGCGTCATTGGTGGGATTCAGTGTGCTCTCTGGCTGTAAGGTAAACTACAACTCCCACCATGGTGGGTCAGTCTCCTCAAAATGCTCCAGTAATTTGAGTTAGTCATGTGGGTTCTGTGTGCCAAGTTATGTCCAGGTCCATCATCAGTGAGGTTTAGAATGCTCTTTGATTGCAGGTGAACTATAAATCCCGGTATTTAAATCCTGATACCTACAACTAAGAAATATCAAGGCCAATTCCACCCCAAATCCACCAGTATTCAAATTTGGGCATATTGGATACGCATGCCAAATTTGGTGCAGATCCATTGTTGTTTGCGTTCACAGTGCTCTCTGGATGTAGAAGAACTATAATTCCTATAAATCAAGGTGAATTTCCCTCAAAGCCCTCCTGTATTTTTTGTTAGTCTGTATGCCAAGTTAGATCCAGAGCCGTCGTTGGTGGGGTCCAGAGTGCTCTTTGATTGCAGATGAACTATAAATCCCGGTACCTACAACTAACAAATGTCAAGGCCAATTCCACCCCAAATCCACAAGTATTCAAATTTGGGCATATTGGGTATGCATGCCAAATTTGGTGCAGATCCATCATTGTTTGTATTCACAGTACTCTCTGGATGTAGGTGAACTATAATTCTGTAAACTATAAATCAAGGTGAATTTTCCCCAAAGCCCTCCTGTATTATTGTTGTTGTTGTTGTTATTATTATTATTATTATTATTGTTGTTGTTGTTTTGGTTATGGGGGTTCTGTGTGTCAAGTTAGGTCCAGGACCATTGTTGGTGGGGTTCAGAGTGGTCTTTGATTGCAGGTGAACTATAAATCCCAAAGCCTACAATGCCTATAAATCAAGGTGAATTCCCCCCAAAACTCTTCAGTATTTTCTTCAGTTATGGGGATTCTGTGTGCCAAATGTGGCCCAGGTCCGTTGTCAGTGGGGGGTCACAGTGCTCTGACTTGATGCAGGGTAAACTACAACTTCCATCATGTGTAGTCAGTCCCCCAAACTCCTCTAGTATGTTTAGTTGCTTCTCAGTTCTGCTCTGTTTGTTGTGCAGACAGAGTTGAAAAGAGTAGGAAAGGGTTAAGGGAGAGGCAGTAGGTGGGATCATGCAAATTCCACACTAGTGGAGAGAGTCAGAAACACTGGGATGTTTCTGTGATGGAGGAAACACGTAAAATTCAGGATGAAGTTGTCCCCAATGAAAGCATTCCTTGGGTGGTGGGTTGTAGTGTTTGGGGAGGACAATGGCAGGGGGTGGGCTACATGTTCATGGCGCTCGCTGTAACCTGAAATGTCATTGGAGGGAGGGCTTTTGATGGCTCCTCAGCACTGTGGGTTGAAGCTGTTCGTGGAAGCAGGAGCCTTTCTGTGGACACGGGCACCCAAGCCACACACACAATACACGTTTTCACTTTTATTATGGGTATAGATGTGAATGTTGTTCTCTTTTGTCAGTGGAATTCCTGCCATGGTGGATTTTGCTGCTATGAGGGAAGCTGTGAAAAATCTGGGAGGAGATCCTACCAAAGTCCATCCTGCCTGTCCGACAGATCTCACCGTTGATCATTCTTTGCAGATTGACTTCAATAAATGGTACATATTATGAAGCTCATTTCATTTTTGCTATGCTTTGGAGGAAATGGGGTTGCATCTATATAAATAAAAATGTAATGTTTGTTTGTGGGATTAACATAACTCAAAAACCACTGGACAAATTGACACGAAATTTGGACACAAGACACCTAACAGTCCAACGTGTGTCCATCACCCCTAAAAACACACAAACACACAAAACCCCAGTGGAGGAGACTTAAAAACCCCAAAAATGCACCATATATACATATACACATATATACATATACACATGCACACATTCGTATATATGTGCACAAAAATACACAAATATACACTTATACACATGCCCACACAAATATACATATACACATGTACACATATATACATATATACATACATATACACATACATACACACACATATACGCATATAGACAAGCAGCACACACATATACACAATATGCAAGTAAACATATAAATACACAAATATATACACACATATATACACCCACACATATACACACACACAAAACACATATACACAGACTGGGCCACAGCAACACGTGGTAGAGGATGGCTAGTTGGTAATAAAAGGTGTGTTCTTCTGAAGGTAGTTTTAAGAAAAGGATACATACATGTATTCACTTACTAACTTTAGATTCTTCTGTTACGACGTGCCAGTTTGGAGTAGGTTACAAAAACCAAACAGCAACAACTCCTGGCCCATATCTTATACGAAAGCAGAAGTGGGAAGCATCCAGTCTTGAACTTGCCTCATAAAATTTACTCAAACTCTATTATATTAGAACATCTTGAAGTCATGGACACCATGAACTATTGCTTTAGTGTTCACTGTATTCCTGTAATAGTCAGGTCATATGTTGAGGTGCTGAGCTGGACCCAGAATATTGTTTTATTGTTTTAATGATTGTTTTATTGCTCATGGATGTATTTTTTTAATTTTATTTATGTCTAATTGTAGTGTATAATTGTAATTGTTTGTACTGACATTGAATTTTTGCCATTACTTATGTGTAAACCGCTTTGAGTCACCCTCGGGGTGACAAAATCAATTTTTGTTGAGTGAAGAACATACATTGGGTTGTTTGGTGTCTTGTGTCCAAATTTGGTGTCAATTCGTCCAATGGTTTTTGAGTTCTATTCGTCCCACAAACGAACATTACATTTTTATTTAGGGCTGTGTGGAAGGGTGCTTAATGTCGGGGAAAACCTTTACTTTTACCTTCTTGAACCTTTTAGAGCAGGCATGGGCAAACCAGCTGTTAGGAATGGTAAGAGTTGAAGTCCAAAACACCTGGAGGGCTGAAGTTTGCCCATGCCTGTGCTAGAGACCTAATTTAACTGCAACTGCATAACGCAATAAGCCATTTGTAAACAATCATGTACATCTTTCTCATCCATTTCTTACACAACAGTGCAATACAGAACACCCCAAATCCCGGTGGTGGGGATCCGCAGAAGCCGCCCTCCAAGCTCTCTCCCCTGAGAGCCCCTCGGAAGCCCTCTTGCCGAGGCCAGTCCAGTTGCAAGGGGCCCTGTGATGGAGAACCAAGGCGGAACGCAGGACAACTCTCTGTGCAAATCGAGAACACACCTCTTCTGTGTCCTTTTCATCTTCAACCAGTGCCTGAGTAAGCATGTTCTCTTAATTATCATTCCCCTTTTTGCCTTCTAAGAACTTCTTTTGTTCTGCAGCTAGGAATGTGTGCCATCATGATAGCAGGCTTGGACTCCCTCTCCAGTTTAACTTGGAACTCGACATCAGACAATATTTCATAATGTGCTACATCATTTCACACTTCGAAGTTTACTTACTGGTGTCCCTGCCAAGAAAATAACTTGCTGGCTTAGGAGTCCACTTTCAGATCACTTTCTGCACTGAACACTTGGAGAGATGAGATTTTTATTTGAAAGGCTTTTTGAAATGTGTATGAAATCTTTTTTTGTTGTTGTGGGTAACATAAGGCATTTTGCTGAGTTTCTTTTTATTGTTATCATATGAATAAGAAAGTTGTAACGACCAAAAGCTTTGCTTGTACCAATAATAATAATAATAATAATAATAATAATGTATTGTCGAAGGCTTTCATGACCGGAATCACTAGGTTGTTGTAGGTTTTTTGGGCTATATGGCCATGTTCTAGAGGCATTTTCTCCTGACGTTTCGCCTGCATCTTTGGCAAGCATCCTCAGAGGTAGTGAGGTCTATTGGAACTAGGAAAGTGGGTTTATATATCTGTGGAATGATGTCCAGAGTGGGACAAAGGATTCTTGTCTGCTGGAGCTAGGTGTGAATGTTTCAACTGACCACCTTGATTAGCATTTGATGGCCTGGCAGTGCCTGGGGCAATCTTTTGTTGAGAGGTGATTAGATGTCCCTGATTGTTTCCCCTCCGTTGTTTTGCTGCTGTAATGCTCTGTGATTGTAGGTGAACTGTAAATCCCAGCAACTACAATTCCCAAATGTCAAGATTCTATTTTTTCCCAAACTCCACCAGTGTTCACATTTGGGCATACTGAGTATTCGTGTAGAGTTTGGTCCAGACCCATCATTGTTTGAGTCCAAAGTGATCTCTGGATGTAGGTGAACTACAACTCCAAAACAAAAGGACACTGCCCACCAAACCCTTCCAGTATTTCTGTTGGTCATGGCAGAACTGTGTGCCAAGATTGGTTCAGTTCCATCGTTGGTGGGGTTCAGAATGCTCTTTGATTGTAGGTGAACTATAAATCCCAGCAACTACAACTCCCAAATGACAAAATCATTTTTTAGTGAAGGACATAAATTGGGTTGTTAAGTGTCTTGTGTCCAAATTCGGTGTCAATTCGTCCAGTGGTTTTTGAGTTCTATTAATCCCATAAACAAACATTACATTTTTATGTATATAGACTAGCCGTCCCCTGCCACGCGTTGCTGTGGCCCAGTCTGGTGATCTGGAAAATAAAGTAATGGTTTCTAATCTATGTAATTCTTTTATGCTAAACAGTATTTCTTGTTTCTTTATCAGTGTTGATGTGGAGAGTGTCTGGTTTGCCTTCTCTGGAACATGCAACATATATTGTCCTTCTTTAGGGGTCCCTTTCAAATCTATGATATTATATCTATGTGTGTGAGAATCATATCGATCTAGCTATGTCTATGGCTGGATGGCTCTTTGTCAGGAGGGCTTTGATTACATTTCCTTGCCCTGGTGAAGAGAGTTGGACTAGTTGGCCTTAAGTATTTTCTGTTGGTCATGGGGGTTCTGTGTGGGAAATTTGCCCCAATTCTGTCATTTGTGGAATTCTGAATGCTCTTTAATTGTAGGTGAACTATAAATCCCAGTAACTACAACTCCCAAATGCCATCTGTGTTCATATTTGGGCATATGGAAAATTTGTGCCAAGTGTGGTCCAGATCCATCATTGTTTGAGTCCACAGTGCTCTCTGGATATATGTGAACTACAACTCCCAAATTCAAGGTCAATGCCCACCAAACCCTTCTAGTGTTTCTGTTGGTCATGGGAGTCCTGTGTGTCACCTTTGGTTCAATTCCATAACTGGTGGAGCTCAGAATGCTCTTTGATTGTAGGTGAACTATAAATCCCAAGAACTACAACTCCCAAATGACAAAATCAAAAAATTTTGAGTGAAGGATATACATTGGGTTGTTAGGTGTATGCTGTCCAAATTTGGTGTCAATTCCCCCACTGGTTTTTGAGTTCTGTTAATCCCACAAACGAACATTACATTTTTATTTATATAGATTTATTATTTATTTACTGTATTTGTATACCGCCTTTCCCAGCCAATCAGCGACTCAAGGTGGATTTATCATGATTTTATATTAATTGTTTTTATTGTATTCTGATGTTCACTGTAAACTGCCCTGGGTCACCTGCGGGCTAAGAGGGGCGGTATACAAATGTAACATAATAATAATAATAATAATAATAATAATAATAATAATAATAATAATAAGCCTGTGCTGTTCTGTTCAAAACAACTCAGTTTGAAAGTATTAATATACTGATAATATTTATATGGGCTCTTTTTTTTCCTTAGGCCTGAAACAGTTTTAAAAAACCAGGAGATAGAATTTGGTAGAAATAGAGAGAGACTCCAGTTTTTCAAGGTATGTTGATATATGGGGGGGGGGGGGGGGTTTACACAACTTTATAGTACATATGAAGGGAAGCTTTTTCAGGGCAAGGGTTGGATTCAGTTTTATGGCACTGCATTTTAGTGCTGGGTGGGGCTGGAAACCAAGACACAAGGCTAACAATACCCCAGCATATTTGGGTGTAAAGGTGCTGCTGTCGTTGACTGAGCCTCATCACTGGCCTTTCAACTTCTTGAGGAGACTTGGAAAATGCTAGGAAGCCACCAAACAAATGTGACCATTTGGGGAACCCCATAGGATTGGATTGGAACCCCCCCCCCACCTTCCCAGTATTGTTGGCCCTCCATATTTGTAATGGATTTGAGTATTCAAGGAATGTGAGAAACTGATTTCTGATTTCTTTCTCTCTCTTCAAATAAACTAGTGGGGCTCCAAAGTTTTTAGGAATGTCTCTGTAATCCCTCCTGGAACGGGAATGGCACACCAAGTAAACCTGGAATACTTGTCGAGGGTCGTATTTGACGCTGAAGGCCTTCTTTATCCAGACAGTGTCATTGGCACCGATTCTCATACAACGATGGTGAATGGCTTGGGCATCTTGGGATGGGGTAAGAGACTAATAATAATAATAACAACAACAATTTCATTTATATCCTGCCACCATCTCCCAAAAGGGACTCGGGCAGCTTACAAAAGCACATAATAGTGCTACAAGAACTAAGGGGACTCAAGAGCGGCTTACAAGGTATATATTGCATACAAGATATTTATATTATTAGCATAGTACAATATCAGCATTAAACATGGCTATATTGCACCATACCATTATATCGTAATATTATTAGTAATATTACTTGTAATATAAATATATAACTATAATATATTATATTGCATTACATTATAATATTATAAATATTATATGTGTATACAATGTATTATATTATACTATATTATATTATTAGAATAGCACAGGAGACAAGATGGAACTGTTCCTTGGCCTCCCCTCTCTTCACTTGGTTTTTCAATCCACTAATTGGGAAACTAGATTATATTCAAGATAAAACTGAGCTTTCTAGGGCCAAAAGTTGTAACTTCAGGCCAAGGAGATTCTTCCTTTAACTCCCATATTACGTGGTTAGTTGGCCTGTAATGAAGCGGCTAAGTGGTGTCATTTCTCTTTTCAGGAGTGGGAGGAATTGAAACAGAAGCAGTCATGCTGGGCTTGCCCGTCACCTTCACTTTGCCGGAGGTGGTTGGATGTGAACTTACTGGCTCTGCCAGCCCGCTTGCCACATCAATAGATGTGGTCCTGAGCATTACAAAGGTAATCTTGCAATTTTGCTTTACAAAGAGTCCTCTTGGTTGCAGAATGGGCCACACTATCCAGCAAATAATGTGGTTGGGGTAGGCCTGTAAGACATTTCCAAACCTATCTGGGTTTTCTCTGTCAGCCTTGTGATAATGTATTTTTCTTTTCTCTCCCAATAGCAACTGAGGCAAGCAGGGGTGTCTGGAAAATTCGTGGAGTTTTTTGGTCCTGGCATTTCCCAGCTCTCTATAGGCGACCGAACCACAATAGCCAATATGTGTCCAGAATATGGTGCTATCTTGAGCTTTTTCCCTATCGATAATGTGACACTGAAGCATTTAAAGTATACCGGTAAGTCGGAAACAGAGTTTTGTAGAGGTTCTCACGGGAACCTGTTGTCTAAAGCAGAGCTTCTTCAGCTTTTCCTGAGAAATGTTTATGTGATGCCAGGAATATAGGGACCAAACTATAGGTATAAAAACTAAGTGTGTATTGATAATAAGTTAGCATTTGCAAGGCCTGGTAAACAGACTGATTTTCCTTTTAGTGGAGTACAGTCTTCACTCACTTATCGTGGGCGTTGCGTCCCAGGACCACCTGTGAAAAGTGAAAATCCGCAAAGTAGGGATGCTATATATGTATATCGAATTCCGAGAGTGAGGCAGAAGTGAGGAGAGATTTAAAGGCATTGCACACCCTTTTTTTTTTTTTGCTAGGTATCTCTGCTTTTCTTTGCAATCTCTCCTGATTGGCTGCCTCTCTCCCGAGGGGCAGGGTGAAAACCACTTCCACACTCCATCGTTGCCAGGAGGCGGGATTAGAACGCTGCTCTGGGCAACGGCAACCATTCATAAACTGGGGGGGAAAAACCCGCGAAACAGCGAGTTTGCGAAAAGCAAACCGCAAAGTAGTGAGGGAACACTGTACAGCTGAAGTATTTTTGCAGATCCTACTATAATAATAATAATAATAATAATAATAATAATAATAATAATAATAATAATATTTATTGTGTCAGGAGCAAACCAAACAGTTGTATTGCATTTTTAACAAACAAACAAAACGCAAAGTTTGCAAGCTTGGTATTCTATTAAATGTCCTTTGACCAGTAGCTGGCCATTTGGAGTGCCTCTGGTGTTACTATAAGAAGGTCCTCCATCTCAGATCACATTTTGAGATGTTCCGGTCTGTATTGGTGGCCCAATACTATGTATGTATATGTATGTATTTTTATATTTTATTTTATATTTTTAAAGTGAATATTGTATTTTTAAATATGTTGTAAACCGCAATGAGTCGCCGCACAGGCTGAGATATTAGCGGTATACAAGTGTACTAAATAATAAAAAAAAAAAATTTTCCTCCCCAATACTTGTACAGAAATTGAAGGGGGATGTATTTATTAAAAGAATAGATGTTTGTGAACCTCGTGAGTTCCTAAGCTGAGTTAGGAAAAGATAATCGAGTTCATAAAATTCCAGCCTTTTGTTGTGCAAATTCCGTTTAGGCGCTCTGCTGTGTTGTTTGTTAGTAAATTTTATTTATTTATTTATTTATTTGCTATACTTGTATACCGCCGTTTCTCAGCCTAGCCGGCGACTCAACGCGGTTTACAACAACTTATAACAAACAACAGTATACAGTTTAAAAGCATAAAAACATAATCCACAATACATATATCAATAAACAATCCAATTCATCTCTTGACTAAAATCGTGATCCAGTTTCGTCGTCCAGATTGCCAGTCCTTCAATCATTACACTTATTGCACTGAGTTAACCGAACGCCTGCTCGAACATCCATGTTTTTAGTCTTGGTTTCCTTTGATGTCTTTTTCCTAAGCCTCTCAATATTTCCCATAGGTATTGATAAGACCCAACTTAAGTCCATGGAAGCATATCTTAAAGCTGTGAAATTGTTTCGAAATGACCAACTTCCCACTGAAGAACCAGAATATTCCCAGGTAATTCCAAAATGTAGTGCTTGTCTGTTTTGATTTATGCTTTTCCCCCGAGCCCTTCTTATCCAAGGTAGTTTTTATTCCTCTCAAGATCAAGTGTATTCAACCACTTTTCCTCTTCCCAGCTTCTTGCTCTCCTCTGTTTAAGGCACATTAACATGAAGCAAATAAAGGCCCATTGAATATTGAGAAGTGGGAAATTGAGAGGTCATTGCTGTAGTTTTAAAAACGTTTCTAGAATATTGAATGTGGAGCCTATATGTGTAATATAAATTGTGCCATTGTTATTAACAAAGTATTTTCTCCATCAGATTATACACATAAACCTGGAATCAATAACACCCTACGTAAGCGGCCCCAAAAGGCCACAGGACAGAGTGGCTGTGACGGGCATGAAGGGGGATTTCCAAGCATGCCTCAATGAAAAGGTATGTGCAGGGGAAATGGGTGCGAAATCCCTCTGTTTGTAAGCCAAAGCATTATTTTTTTTACACATGGGCAAATCCACCTTCTTTCATTGTTATAGGATTTTGTGACTTTGATGTTTTTCAGACGGTGTTATTTTGTTTGTTAAGTTTAATTAGGTGGTGTTATATTGTCGAATGTGTTTATTTTGCTGTAATTGTTTTTATGGTTTCTTTCCGGCAATTAAATATTTGCTTATATGTTGGAAACTACCCTGAGTCCCTTTGGGGAGATAGGGTGGTATACCAATAAATAATAATAATAATAATAATAATAATAATAATAAGGCATGATATCTAAAACTATTGGGTAGATCTATTGTCAGCATTTCAGACTAAAATTGTCATAAATATGAAGGCCGAGAAAGGTGTTCAGTCTCAGATACTGTTGTACTCCAGACTAGGAAAAACCCTCTGACTTTAAACACCACACAGTTGAGTAGAAATGCAATCCATTTATTGAAGATAATTAAAAAGTAGTAAAAGCAGTTTAAAGGAATAGGTAAATCCAATTAGGTAGGAAGATAAGCTGGAACAAAATAGTCCAAGGAATTAGTCCATCAAAGTCTATGAAAAATAAAGCTAGAAACTTCTATAGTAAAATCCAAAACACTGGAAATAGGAGTCCAAAGCACTTAAAAACATAATAATAAAATCCAAGAATCAAAAACATGAATCAAAGCACTTAGAACATGAATCTTTCCAAAGCAAGGTTTCCAAGGAACAGGGACGAGATCTGGACTTGATTCCAAACGATGCTTCATCTGACTACAGATCCTGTACTTGGGACTTTTATCTCCTCGTTAAGCTATGTCCCAAGCGAGCAGAAATTGGTTTCGCTTTAGCCTTGAATTCCTTATCTTCATTTCTCAGAGCCTGGCAGAACACCAGAGCCACTGATCTGCTTTTCTGTTTTGTCTAATCACCTCCCGTCTATCTATTTGCTCATTAATTTCTGCAACTGGGCCAGGTGTCGAGCTGTTCTCAAATTCCAAATCATGGGAATTCTCTGGTAGCAACTCAGGGAGCACACTATCATCCTCACACCCTTCAGGGACATCCTCGTGAGAAAATACACTTTGAACAGAGATTTCCTGGTCATTCTCTGCATCAATACCATTGGAAACACCATTACCTTCATGAACCTCATTGTCATCACTCCCCACATCCAAAGCACCCTGATCCTTAAACACAAGCACAGTCTGAGCTCCAACAGATACTTTGTTGTGCACATTGAGACTTTAGATCTGTTTATCGATTAGTCCACTCAGCATCTCAACAATAAAAGACAAAAAAACCAAAAATACAGGCAAATAGACAGTAATCACGATTCTGAAACTTCTGTAATAGTTAATGAAAAGAAATTAAAACATGATAAAAGTTTATTAATTAATAAATTTGGTAAAATGGGATTAAATTACAAGAGTTTTATTCATTTATCGTGTCAGAAGCAAATTGAGGGTACAATTGTAACATATTTAAAAACACAAACAAAGTTTCAAACTTGGCATGATATTAAATGTCCTTTGACCAGAAGCTGGCCTCTTGGAGTGCCTCTGGTGTTGCTGTGAGAAGGTCCTCCACTGTGCATGCGGCAGGGCTAAGGTTGTATTGTAGTCAGTGGTCAGTGGTTTGCTCTTCTCCGCACTCGCCTGTCGAATTACAAGATGAAAGTAGGGGGAGTAGAGTGATGAGTGTAAAAGAGTCTAATTCTGTCGAACTCTCTAATAATTTCTTGTAATTTTTTGTAATAGAATTCTAACCTCTCCCTTACTATTGTCTAAATGCAACTATGATGTGATGTTTTTGTAATACCTTTGTGGCCTTCTAGGTTGGGTTTAAAGGCTTTCAGATCCCGGCAGAGAAGCAAAACGACGTCGTCCCTGTGGAGTATGAAGGAAACGAGTACAAGTTGGCGCACGGCTCTGTGGTCATTGCGGCGGTGATCAGCTGTACCAACAACTGCAATCCATCTGTGATGCTAGGAGCAGGTACTCCTCAGTTGACATCTTGAGCAGTGATCAATTTTTATGCCCCCAGGGAACAGTGTTGACTGTTTTTATGTTTTATGTTTGTTTTCATGTCTGATATAATAGGTTGTTTACATTGTAATAGGTTGTTTACATTGTATCTCCCTTTGGGGAGATAGGGTGGAATATAAATAAAGTTTTATTATTATTATTATTTGAAACACAACAAGATGGGTCCACAGCAGACAAAATCACTCTGCTGGCTGTTACATTGGATCACACGTCGGACCCTTCGCAATGTCTAGGACTGTGTAATGTATCGGCAAATAATGCATGCAGATCCCAGTAAGGTGGCCTTCTGCAGCTGGCAGATGGTAATCTTGTCAGTGCTGATTGTGTTTAAGTGCAGGCCAAGTTCTTGAGACACTGCACCCAGGGTGCCGATCACCACTTTACTGGCTTGTGCCAGAGACTTTGCAGTTTGATATTTAAATCCTTGTATTAGTATTATTATTATTATTATTATTATTATTATTATTATTATTATTATTATTATTTGAAACACAACAAGATGAGTCCACAGCAGACACGCTGCTGGTTGTTGAATGGGATCACACGTTGGACACTTCCCAAGTGTCTAGGACTGTGTGATGTATCGGTGAATAATGCGTGCAGATCCCAGTGAGGTGGCCTTTTGCAGCTGGCAGATGGTAATCTTGTTGGCGCCAATTGTGTTTAAGTGCAGGCCAATGTCTTTAGGCGCCATGGCGCCGATCCCCACTGGGACCACCTTGACTGGTTTGTGCCAGGTCTTTGCAGTTCGATCTTTAAATCTTCATATCGTGTCAGCTTTTCCAATTGTTTCTCTTCAATCCTTCTATCGCCTGGGATGGCAACATCAATGATCCATACTTTAATTATTATTATTATTACATTGTACCTCTTGTTCTTTTCTACCTCTTGCTGTATTGATACATCTGTAGCTCAAGGGCAAAGCAAGTCCAGTTAGAGTTACAATGATAGAGGGTACGCAAAGGTCTTCTCTTTTTTTTTGCAACATCTCTCTCTGTTTGTTCTTTCTCTCTTCATTTCTCTGTCTTAATATAGTCCTCTGAAGGAAAAGGTAACACCCAAAATGCATCTAGCCATTGCTTTCTTGCAGATATGGGCAAACTTTCACCCTCCAGGTGTTTTGGACTACAACCCCCACAATTCGTAACGGCCGGTAGGATTTCAGGAATTGTGGAAGTCCAAATCACCTGGAGGAGGGCCAAAGTTGGTCCATGCCTGGTGTAGATGCACCTTCAGTTATATTATATTAATTGTATTGTTTTTTAATCATTGTTTTTTGTTTTATCGATGTGTTGTTGAGCTTGGCCTCATGTAAGCCGCTCCGAGTCCCCTTGGGGAGATGGTGGCGGGGTATAAATAAAGTATTATTATTATTATTATCATTATTATTATTATTATTATTATTATATGTGACATATCAGAAATCATGTATCCAGATCATTGTTCTGTAATCAAATACTTACGTGAGACCGAAAGCCTCCCCATTGCTGCTTTGTTGCTTTATCGTGTCACTTAGAACTCTTGTTGCTCTTTGTCCCGATTGTTAACAACCTCTTCCATGGTTCATACATAGGTTTGTTGGCCAAAAAGGCTGTTGAAGCTGGTCTGACCGTGAAACCTTACATCCGAACTAGCCTGTCGCCCGGGAGCGGAATGGTCACCCAGTATCTCAGTTCCAGTGGCGTATTGCCGTACCTTAACAAGCTCGGGTATGGACTTTTTTTGTACTGGTGTCAGAGTATGTCATAATGAACAATACAACATGTTTCAAACACCATCATGTCCAAAGCATACAAGTAACTATAAGGGCTGCCTTGCAAGAAAAAGCACTGTGTCATTAATCAGTATTGTGTAGCTTTACTGATGAGACATTTAAAAAATTGTGTCAGAAGCAACTTGATAAACTGCAAGTTGCTCCTGGTGTGAGAGAATTGGCAGTCTGCAGAAATGCTGCCCAGGGAATGCCCAGATATTTTACCTTCCTGTGGGAGGCTTCTCTCATGCCCCTGCATGGGAGGCTGGAGCTGACAGACAGGAGCTCACCCCGTCTCGCGGATTCGAATTGCTGACCTTCAGGGGCCTCATCACACTGTAGAACGAATCCACCTAAAATCTGGTTAATGCCTCCTGCAGAATATGGCAGGTCATCACAGGAACATACGTTATGACCTGTCATATTCTATGTCAGACTCGTTGCTAATCTTGCTATGGTAGGCAGCAGTTTTCCTCAATCTTGGGCAGAAAAAGGTCTTTCTCCATCAGTTATCGAATTGGGCTACTGTGAGTTTTCTGGGTTGTGTTGCCATGTTCCAGAAGCATTCTCTCCTGACGTTTTGCCTGCATCTATGGCTGGTATCCTCAGAGGTTGAGGGATCTATGCTTTATGCTTATATTTTGTTTTGTTAATCTTATGGTTATGTTGCTTTTACTTTGGATGTTTTGTGATGTTACCTGGGAACCGCTCTGAGATGGAGCAGTATATAAATAAAGTATTATTATTATTATTATTATTATTATTATTATTATTATTATTATATCTATTGGAAACTAGGCAAGTGAGGTTTACATATCTTCTGGAGCAGGGCCATACAGCCCAGAAAACTCACAGCCACCCAGTGATTCTGGCCGTGAAAGCCTGTGACAACACCTTTCTTTGAAACTTTCAATGCCTTGCGTTGAAGTTTGGCCCTTTAGCATAAAAAGCATTGAGTCTATAGCTGACATTCTCCAAAAGGATTCCATGTGTTTCAAGGAATATAGGAATGAAATAGGACTTGCCAGTAAGCCGCTGTATCTTGGTTTCCCCTTTTAGATTTGAGGTCATTGGCTATGGATGTTCCACATGTGTTGGAAATACCGCTCCGCTGCCAGAAACCATTCAGAATGCAATTGTGCAGGTAGGTTTTTCCACCCAAGGCACAGCGGACTTTGACTTTTCTTGACTGGTAAGAAAGAGCGGAGATTTTTAATTAAATAGGATAAATTTTGCTCATCATTCAAATTGAGTGGTTTTCAAGAAAGCTGATAAATTCGCAGTCAAAGCGTGACTGAAATGATCAAGGATCTGTAGAACAAGCCCTATGAGGAGCGGCTTAAAGAGCTGAGCATGTTTAGCCTTCAGAGGAGAAGGCTGAGAGGAAACATGATGAGGGTCGTGTATCAAGAAGTGAGGGGAAGTCTTAGGGAGGAGAGAGCAAACTTATTTTCTGGTGCCCTGGAGACAAGGACGTGGAAAACAAAATCTTCAAACTACAGGAAAGATAGGAGATGTATAGAATCATAGAATCAAAGAGTTGGAAGAGACCTCATGGGCCATCCAGTCCAACTCCATTCTGCCAAGAAGCAAGAATATTGCATTCAAATTACCCTTGACAGATGGCCATCCAGCCTCTGTTTAAAAGCCTCCACCACACTCCGGGGCAGAGAGTTCCACTGTCCTGGAGGTCTCTTCCAATCCTATGATTCTGTGGATGCATAGAAATGTATACTTTCTATCTTTCAGGGTGATTTGGTGGCTTGTGGGGTTTTGTCCGGGAACAAGAACTTCGAAGGCCGCCTCTGCAGTTGCATCCGTGCCAACTACCTTGCCTCCCCTCCTCTGGTTATAGCGTATGCTATCGCAGGAACTGTGAATATCGATTTCCAGACTGAGCCATTAGGTAACGAATGTCTGGGTGCTTTCAGCTGATATTTACGTAATAGAGGGCTTGGGTTTTATGTTTAAGGAGTCTCTTCCCATTTGAAGATGGCGTCAGTGTGTTATGTGGAGCTGCTTCTCCTAATTGACTGACTGCCCCATCTTTGCCTAGGGGTCACTCCTGATGGGAAAAGCATCTTCCTCTACGATATTTGGCCTACGCGAGAAGAACTTCAACAAGTGGAGGAAGAGCTTGTCATCGCGTCCATGTTTAAAGAACTGAGGCAGAAAATGGAGGTAATATTCCTCACTAATCTTATTTTATTTTCTGGTTTTGTTATGCTTTTGTGTTATATTGTGTGTATTGTACTGATGGGCGTGCCCTCATGTAAGCCGCACCGAGGCCCCCTGGGGGAGGGGGAGATGGAGCGGGGTATTAATAAATAAATAAATTATTATTATTATTATTATTATTATTATTATTATTATTATTATCCTATGACAAATGGCCTGTATTATGACTTGAATTGTCATTCAATCTGATGTCCTATATTATATTAACTGATTCTGTTAATTTGCTCTGTTTCCATGATTTTTCCTATGCCTTAATACATTGTCATCTACCTTACTAAACCACTTTATTCTTTAACTAGTTCACGTAGTGGTTTCCCCCCCCCCCCTCCAAAATTAGTCTGCTGTTATTGTTGTTGCAAGCTATTTTTGTTATGTTGTTTTATGCTGTTTTAATTGTTATTGCTTTATTTTAATTATATTCTGCCTGGACTTGGCCCCATGTAAGCCGCCCCGAGTCCCTTCGGAGCGATGGAGGCGGGGTAGAAAAATAAAGTAGTAGTAGTAGTAGTAGTAGTGGTAGTAGTAGTACTTCTTCTTCCTCTTCTCCTCCTCCTCCTCCTCCTCATGTCTGTGTGTATATATGCACCACAGAACACACACAGATAAGGATGAGAATAAGGAGAAATTTGATGACTGGAAGGGTTTGTGGGGGGGGGGGGGGAGATAACTGATCTTCCTTCCAGGGAGTTGTAATTCACCCATAGCCAGAGAAACTCTGACCTCCAATGATGATGGGCCTGGGCCACACTTGGCACACACAACCCCCATGACTAACTCAACCTACTGGAGCAGTTTGAAGGGACTGACTCACCATAGTGGGAGTTGTAGTTTACCCTACAGCCAGAGAGCACACTGAACCCCACCAATGATGCATCTAGAGCAAACTTGCCCAACATCACAAACTTTAACTACTGTTAGACTTTTTCAGGGGTTGACCTGGCATGATGTGAGTTGTAGTTCACCCATTTTGCACAATTTAAAAATTGAATTTTTCAAATAACCCTGGCAACACTGGGTACCCAGGCTTGTGTGTGTGTGTGTATGCAATATGTAAAGGACTGAAACTGAATTAACTGAAAATGAGCAGTCATCAATAAAAAGGATGTTCATATTGCACTTTATTTTGGTCCTTTTTTTTTTTTTTTTTTTTTTTGCAGAAAGGAAATAAGCTATGGAACTCTTTGGAAGCGCCTGAGTCGGTTTTATTTACATGGGATTCAAAGTCTACGTACATCCGATGTCCTTCGTTTTTTGATAAGCTTGTAAGTATGGAAGCCCTCGCTCTATTCATTTGGAATTTGCTGCACCCAAGCGAATCCCTGCCTGTTGGTTTCATCGAATGTCTAATCCTCTTCCAATTTGAAGATGGGCGGTTATAAAGTTTCAGGAAACGTTGTGTGTTTTAAAAGCTGAACACAAAAACTCTCCCTTGAGAACAAAGGAATTTGTTTCGAGTCTTGAGAACTGAATGTGGCTTGCAGTCCATCAACATAAAAAAAAATCTGTCCATATCTTCTGTAGCTTTATAATATGTAATATTATTATATTGTATCATTAGTATTATATTGCATTCAATATTATGAACAGCATTATATGTACATACAATATATTATATAATTAGCATAGCACAATATTAGTATTATATATTATTATATTGTACTATAATACTGTCCTGCAATATTATTACTAATATTACATGTAATATATAATATTTAATTAGTGTATTGTTATTATTAGCATTAGATTGTATTACAATATTATGATCAATATTATATGTGTATAGAATGTATTATATTAGCGTAGTACAATATTATGCATTACTATTTTGCACTATAACTATACTGCAATATTATTAGTACTTTTACATGTAGTATATAATATGTAATATTATTATATTTTATTATTAGTATTATATTGTATAACAATATTATGATCAATATTATATGTACATACAATATACTGTATAATTAGCATAGCACAATATTGGTAGCATATATTATTACATTGTGCTATAACACCGTCCTGCAATATTATTACTAATATTACATGTAGTATATAATTATATTGTTTTATTGTATTATTGCTAGTATTAGATTGTATTACAATATTATTATCAATATTTGTACATACAATATATTATATTATCAGCATAGCACAATATTAGTATTATGTATTACTATATGGTACTATTCCACCGTACTGCAATATTAGTAGTCATATTACATGAAATGTATATATACAGATATTATATTGTATTATTAGTATTATATTGTATTATATTATAATAGTATATGTATATACAATATAATATACAACAACAAAGCACAATATTAGCATTATATTTTACTATAACCCCGCTAGCTGCAAGAGATGCTTTTCCAAACTTACCAGTGGAAGTTACTTTCCAGTGGAAGTTACTATAGAGCAGACATGGGCAAACTTTGACCTTCCTCCAGGTGTTTTGGACGTCAACTCCCACAATTCCTAACAGCCGGAGTTGACGTCCAAAACACCTGGAGGAAGGCCAAAGTTTGCCCATGCCTGCTGTAGAGTCTCATTGGAATTCCAAGAATATTTCCAAGAATATTTTAAACGGCTGGGAACACAATGTCTTCAGTGTGTTTGTTTTGCCTCACAGGCCAAAGACCCTCGTCCGCCCCAGTCGATTGAAAACGCACACGTTCTGTTGCACTTGGGGGATTCTGTCACAACGGATCACGTCTCGCCTGCCGGCAGCATCGCAAGGGGCAGCGCCGCCGCCAGATACTTGACCAATAAAGGGTGAGGACCTTCAGAGGAGGAATTGGGGGCGGGTGCTGAATTGGGGGTCAACTCATCCCCCAAAATGGCTACATTCCAGAAGTTGCGCTTTCAAGCAGATGAACTATGTGGCATAACTATAAGTAGGATTAACTGAATCTCCATCAAGCCTCTGGTCCCAATTTTCTGCATAGTCTCTATAAATCAACCTGGGGGTCGGGACCCCTGGGGGGGTTGCAACAGGGGTGTCAAAGGAGTTGCTAAAGACCATCAGAAAACACAGTATTTCTGTTGGTCATGGGATTTTCTGTGGGAAGTTTGGCCTAACTGGATCATTGGTGGGTTTCAGAATACTCTTTGATCATAAGTGAACTATAAATCCCAGCAACTACAATTCCCAAATGTCAAGGTCTCCCCAAATTTCACCAATGTTCTGATATGGGCATATTGAGTATTCGTGCCAAGTTCAGTCCAGATCCATCATTGTTTGAGTCCACAGTGCTCTCTGGATGTAGGTGAACTACGACTCCAAAAGTCAAGGTCAATGCCCACCAAACCCTTTCAGTATTTTCTGTTGGTCACGGGAGTTCTGTGTGCCAAGTTTTGTTCAATTCTCTCGTTGGTGGAGTTCGGAATACTCTTTGAGTGTAAGTGAACTATAAATCCCAGCAACTACAATTCCCAAATGTCAAGGTCTATTTTCCCCAGACTCCACCAGTGTTCACATTTGGACATATTGAGCATTTGTGCCAAGTTTGGTCCAGATCCACAATTGTTTGAGTCCAAGGTGCTCTCTGGATATAGGTGAACTACAACTTTCAAACTCAAGATCAATGCCTACCAAATCCTTCTACTATTTTCTCTTGGTCATGGGAGTTCTGTGTGCCAAGTTTGATTCAATTCCCTCATTGGTGTTCAGAATCCTCTTTGATTGTAGGTGAACTATAAATTCCAGCAACTACAACTCCCAAATGACAAAATCAATCCCCCCAACCCCACCAGTATTCCAATTTGGGTGTAACAGTTATTTGTGCCAAATTTGGTCCAGTGAATGGGAATACATCCTGCATATCAGATATTTACATTACGATTCATAACAGGAACAAAATGACAATTATGAAGTAGCGACAAAAATAATGTTATGGTTCGGGGTCGCCACCACATGAGGAAGAGTATTAAGGGGTTGCGGCATTAGGAAGGTGGAGAAACACTGCTATAGATAGTACAGTGTGCTCTTAGTACAGAGCACTTGCAGAAATGCGTACTACTTTGTGTACAAATGATTGGGTGGCGCTATTACGGCGTACTTAGAAAAGCGCATTAAATAAAGTTATTATTATTATAATCATCACTGGATTGCTGTGAGCTTTCCAGGCTGTATGGCCATGTTCCAGAAGCGCTCTTTCCTGACGTTTCACAGAGGTTGTGACCTCACAACTTATGAGGATGCCTGCCATAGATGTGGGCAAAACGTCAGGAGAGAATGCTTCTGGAACATGGCCAGGCAGCCCGGAAAACTCACAACAACCCAGTGATTTCGGCCTTGAAAGCCTTGGACAACACATTGAACATTTCTACAGGAGAACACTGTTCCAAGACTCATGGAGATTGGGAAAACTATGGAGCAGGACTCTCTGCCTTTCCTTCAGACCTCACAACATCTGAGGATGCCTGCCATAGATAGGGGCAAAATGTCAGGAGAGAATACTTCTGGAACAAGCCTGGAAAACTCACAGCAACCCAGTAACTCTTCTTAGCTTCCAAGTTGGTGGTCTGGTGCCTTTAGAGTACGACCAAGATGTTAAACGATTCCTGTAGTCAGCATATACTTCCCACTCACCTCTGTGTCTGGATTGTCTTCTGCGGTCTCTTCTAGCCTCACTCCCCGTGAATTCAATTCGTATGGTGCTCGGCGGGGCAATGATGCCGTGATGACGAGAGGCACTTTTGCCAACATCAAGCTTTTCAACAAATTCATTGGGAAACCGGCTCCGAAAACCATCCACTTCCCAACTGGGCAGACGGTAAGGACGTGGTTATTTCAACAGAGCCACTGATAGGCAACAGATGCTAGGGAATTTCCATCTTTCCCATCTTCTCCCTCCTCTGTTGCAGTTGGATGTATTTGATGCGGCCGAGTTATACCGGAAAGAGAACATACCTCTGATCATCTTGGCTGGCCAGAAGTACGGACTGGGGAGCTCAAGAGATTGGGCTGCAAAGGGGCCTTTTTTACTGGTACGTTCACATCGTATTTCAAGTACCATATATAAGCGAGTATAAACGGAGTTTTTCAACCCTTTTTTAAGGCTGAAAAAGCCTCCCTCTGCTTATACTCGAGTCAGAGTTATTTATTATTTTACTCTGTTGCTATTATTATTATTATTATTATTATTATTATTATTATTATTATTATTATTGTATTGTCGAAGGCTTTCATGGCCGGAATCACTAGGTTGTTGTAGGTTTTTTCGGGCTATATGGCCATGTTCTAGAGGCATTCTCTCCTGACATTTCGCCTGCATCTATGGCAAGCATCCCCAGAGAGGATGCTTGCCATAGATGCAGGCGAAACGTCAGGAGAGAATGCCTCTAGAACATGGCCATATAGCCCGAAAAAAACCTACCACAACCCATTATTATTACATTTATTATTTTACTCTGTTTACTTTCATTATTACACTTACATTATTTTACTATATTATTTTTATTTTTATTACATTTATTGTTTTTTCTATTGTTATTGTTACATTGATTACTTTACTAGCTGTCCCCTGCCATGCGTTGCTATGGCCCAGTCTGTGAGCCACAGCAACAAAGTTTTGTGTGTGTACAGGTGTGTATATGTGTGTGTATATACTTGTGTATAGTTATTTTTTACTTATGTCAATGATTTGTACCCCGCTCTTCTCAACCCCCGCAGGGGACTCATATGTGTATATACTCATATGGAAATGAGCACCAAATCCCAGAGTCGGACACGACTGGACTTTACCTATGTTTATATATTTGTGTATATGTGTATATGTGTATATATGTATATATGTGTGATTGTGTATATATATGTGGTTTTGCTCATGCATTGTAATGTATTTTTGGGGCTTTTTGGCTTTTTAAGTCTCTTCCCCTGTGTGTTTCAGTTTTTTTATGAGTGATGGTCACTTATAATAATAAATTAATATTTATTTGTTAAAACTCGTGAAACAGCTAGTCCGCGTAAAGCGAACCACAAAACAGCGAGGGAACACTGTATTGTTATTACATTTATTATTTTATTCTATTATTACATTTATTATTTTACTCTATTATTACTCCCATTACATTTCCATTATTTTGCGCCATTATTTTTATTTTTATTACATTTATTATTTTACTCTATTATAACTCCTATTATTACATTTCCATTATTTTACGCTATTATTTTTATTACATTTATTATCCTACTCTATTCTTGTTATTATTACATTTATTATTTTACTCTATTATTACTCCCATTATTACATTTCCATTATTTTGTGCTATTATTTTTATTTTTATTAAATTTATTATTTTACTCGATTATTATTATTACATTTATTATTTTACTCTATTATTACTCCTATTATTACATTTCCATTATTTTATTCTATTATTTTTATTTGTATTACATTTATTATTTTACTCTATTATTGTTATTATTACATTTATTATTTTACTCTATTATTACTGTCATTATTACATTTCCATTATTTTATTCTATTATTTTTATTTTTATTACATTTATTATTTTACTTTATTATTATTGGAAGGATACATTAGCACATTTACGTTGATGAAGGTGAGAATAATGGTTTAATCAGAGTTGTATAGTCTTATCTGAAATTACAGGTTTTGTAAATATTTATTTATTTATTTATTTATTTATTTATTTGATACACTTGTATACCGCTAATATCTCAGCCTGTGCGGCGACTCATTGCGGTTTACAACTTGTTAAAATACAATAGTCACTTAAAAATATAAAATAAGATATCAAAATACAAGACATAAAACATACATAGTATGAACATACTTAGTATCGGGCCACCAATACAATATTCAAAAACATTTAACTCACTGATACCTCAATTAATGTAATTTTATTAGTAGCTATTTTTATTTTGAAATTGACCCTTAGCTGCTGCATTTCCCACCCTTGGCTTATACTTGAGTCAATACATTTTCCCAGTTTTTTTGTGGTCAAATTAAGCGCCTTGGTTTATATTTGGGTCAGCTTATACTTGAGTATATACGGTAACTATGAGATCCTAGGTGTGCTCATTATTTGGGGCAACTCATTTCTTATTCGGTGATTTAAAAAAAAATATTACATTTGGCTTGGCCATAGGTTTTTAAATCCTTGTGTGTTATTGTTATATATGATTTATATTAATTTGTATTGTATTGTATTGCTTGTTTATTGCTTTCCTGTTTTGATGTGTTATTGGGCTTGGCCTCATGTAAACTGCTCCGAGTCCCTTGGGGAGATGGTGACGGGGTATAAATAAAGTTTATTATTATTATTATTATTATTATTATTATTATTATTATTATTATTATTATTATTTCAGTTTCGTAAAACTTAATTGTTTCATGCTGTTTCCTTGGAAATATTGTTTTGGATTTCCATTTGCAAATTGGGACCATTGTTACGAAAGTCTTTCCTGTTTCTGCACTTGGCAGCTTATTTCAGAAGATAGCACCAGGTCTAATAGTTTTACGTTGCAGAATAATATTGTATCGCAGTGAACTTGAACTGAAGGCCCAATTATTTGAGAAATATTGGAAGGATAGATGGTCTGAACCAGGTGTACCTGTTTCCACAGGGTGTCAAGGCAGTTATCGCCGAAAGCTACGAGAAGATCCACAAAGGCCATTTAATTGGGATGGGCATTGCTCCGCTCCAGTTTCTTCAAGGCGAAAGCTCACATGTTTTGGGCCTGACGGGCAAAGAGCAGTTTTCTATCTCCTTTCCTCAAGAGTTATCCCCTGGAATCACGTTAGACGTAAAGGTACCTTGGTTTCGCTGTAATGCTTACGCCTTAAGACTTATTTTGTTTAACTTCTAACACTGGTGTACTTATTGATTGAAATGTGGTTTTGAGGAGTGCCTTCATTGCTTGGAAGTTCGGCAACAAAACAAGGTTGGATGTGTTGGGTGAGTGGGCTTGTTAACAAAAGACCCTCCCCAGGAATGTATAGCAGAGTAACTTATTAGCAGCAGTGTGGCCCAGCATCAGGAGCCCAAAATGATACAAAGAACAAAAACACACACCAATGTTATCTCTTCCATAGAAGGCTTTTCTTTATAGCAAAATAATATGGTTGCACTATTTACAAAAACAAGGTTTCCGTAACACAAACAAAATTCTTTATACTTCCTTCTTTGCTTCCACACTGGGCTCCTTTCTCATGCAGATAAACAGCTTTGCTCTCACAGAGCTTCCTCTGACACTGAAGTTACACAGAAGTTTCACAATAGCTTTATACACACAGCAGCCTTCACACTGGAGCTTCATACACGGTAGTTATACACACAGCAGCCTTCACACTGGAGCTTTACAGACAATAGCCTTCAACCTGGGGCTTCTCTCACAGAAAGTTCTCACACCAGGCCCACGCAGTTCTACCTGGGGCTTCTCTCACAGAAGGTTCTCACACCAGGCCCACTCACACTGAGGCCTTCTCACACAGAGACCTTCTCAAAGACTACTAAGTTACAGGCACACCTGCTTATATTGAACTGCAGCTTTTACTGAGTCACACAAAGTTCTTTATACTTCCTTCTTCACTTCCATGCTGGGCTTCTTTCTCATGCAGATAAACAGCTTCGCTCTCACAGAGCCTCTTCTCAAACTGAACTTATACAGGAGTATCTCACAGTAGCTTTTTACACACAGCAACCTTCACACTGAAGCTTCACACATGATGGCCTTCAACCTGGGGCTTCTCTCACTGAAGCTTCTCATACTGAGGCCTACTAACACTGAGGCACACCTCACACTGAGGGCTCTCTTAGACTGACGCCTCTCGCACACACTGAGGCGAACTAACACTGAAGCCTACCTTATACTGAGGCCTATTAACACACTGAGGCCTTTCTCTCACAGAGACCTCTCACAGACCGAGGACTAAAAGCTACAGGCATACCTACTTATATTGAACTGCAACTTTTGCTGAGTCATTGAGGCTACCTCACACTGAGGCCTTTTTCTCACAGAGACCTCTCACAGACTGAGGACTACTAAGCTACAGGCATGTCTGCTTATATTGAACTGCAGCTTTTGCTGAGTCATTGAGGCCTGCTAACACTGAGGCCTTTCTCTCACAGAGACCTCTCACAGACCGAGGACTATAAGCTACAGGCATACCTTCTTACATTTGAACTGCAGCTTTTGCTGAGTCATTGAGGCTACCTCACACTGAGGCCTTTCTCTCACAGAGACCTCTCACAGACCGAGGACTATAAGCTACAGGCATACCTACTTACATTTGAACTGCAGCTTTTGCTGAGTCATTGAGGCTACCTCACACTGAGGCCTTTCTCTCACAGAGACCTCTCACAGACTGAGGACTTACTAAGCTACAGGCACACTTGCTTATATTAAACTGCAGCTTTTGCTGAGTCATGGCATCCATTTCAGTGCTTGTCCCACATTTTTGTAATGAAAAATACTTAAGTTAATTTTTAATATTTTTGATGGGACGTTGTCAGGGCAGTAGAGAAGGTGTGCTGAGAGAGGTGGAAGGCTTGAAACAATAGGGAAATGCAATTAGCATTTGGAAAAACTAATGTTTGTGAACTCACTTGGGAGAGAGCCCTGTCTGATGTGTCCTTTTGCTTCCTCCCCTTTCTAAGACAAATACAGGTAAAGTATTCCGCGTTCTTGCCTCCTTTGACAATGACGTCGAAGTGACGTTGTACCGACACGGCGGCGTTTTGAACTACATGATGCGGAGGCTGTTGTAGGGCCCCGTTTGCCCCTCTCTCCCTCCCTCCCTTCATGGGCCGCGCGGGCCTCACCTGGTCGACGGAACTGTCCACAGTCCCACCGCGCTCGGGGGGCTTCGTCCATGGATGTACAAGATTGTGAATTGTTGTAGTGACTGCGGCAGGAATCCTTCCGGATTTTCAAATAATATTCGAATGGTGCTATATTGACATTGCTTTAACAAATAATTGACGTGCGTGTCGTGACAAGAGAAAGCTGTAAGTATAGGGAGGGAGGGCGGGCGGGGAGGGAGCGGGGTGTCCTGGACCGTTTTGTAAATAAAGGATGTCAAACCCTGGACGTGAATTCTGGAGAACATTTTCAGCCAGGTCATGATTCTTAACCATTTGGGGTTGGTCCCCCCGCTCTCCCTCTTTCTGTTTTGCTTCTTGGCTTGAGAGCAGCACATGGCTCACAAGTTGGAAGGGTGCGTTCTTCCTTTTTTATTTATTATTTATTTTATTTAAAACATTGATATATTCCGCCCTTCTCACCCCGAAGGGGACTCAGGACGGACCACAGCATATATACGGCAAACATTCAATGCCGGGACACAAATTCACATACACACATATCTATATAAATAAAAACGTAATGTTCGTTTGTGATACCATCAGAACTCAAAAACCACTGGGTGAATTGACACCAAATTTGGACACAAGACACCTAACAACCCAATGTATGTCCTCCACTCAAAAAATTTGATTTTTTTCATTTGGGAATTGTCGTTGCTGGGATTTATAGTTTACCTACAATCAAAGAACATTCTGAACTCCACCAATGATGGAATTGGGCCAAACTTAGCACACAGGGCTCCCATGACAAACACAAAAAACTGGAAGGGTTTGGTGGACATTGACCTTGAGTTGGGGAATTGTAGTTCACCCACATCCAGAGAGCACTGTGGACTCAAACAATGATGGATCTGGACCAAACTTGGCACGAATATTCCATATGCCCAAATATGAACACAGATGGAGTTTAAGGGAAATAGACCTTGACATTTGGGGTTTGCAGTTGCTGGGATTTATAGTTTCCTGTCGTAGTCCCTGTGAATCGCACATATGGTATTTCTGCGCCATGTGCGAATTCACAGGTGACTACTCAGGAAACTATGGTTACAGGTAAGTAACCTATAATTCACCTACAATCAAAGAGCATTCTGAACTCCACTAATGATGGAATTGTGCCATAACCAAACGTGCCATACAGGACTTCCATGACCAACAGAACACACTGGAATGGTTTGGTGGGCATTGACCTTGTTTTGGACTTGTAGTTCACCTACACCCAGAGAGCACTAGACTCAAACAATGATGGATCTGGACCAAACTTGGCACAAATATTCCGTATGCCCAAATATGAACACAGATGGAGTTTGGGGGAAATAAACCTTGGCATTTGGGATTTGTAGTTACTGGGATTTATAGTTCACCTACAATTAAAGAGCATTCTGAATCCCACAAATGACAGAATTGGGGCAAACATCCCACACAGAACCCCCATGACCAACAGAAAATACTTAAGGCCATCCAGTCCAACTCTCTTCACCAGGGCAAGAAAATGTAATCAGAGCCCTCCTGACAAAGAGCCATCCAGTCATAAATATAGATAGATATGATTCTCACACACACAGATATAGTATCATAGATTTGAAAGAGACCCTTAAAGAAGGACTATGATATGTTGCATATTCCAGAGTAGGCAAACCAGACACTCTCCACATCAACACTGACAAAGAAACAACAAGAAACACGGTTTACTCACAAGCAGAAAGACATTGCATCTGCCAATGGTAATGAAGCTGCCACCAAATAATAAAGAGACGCTACCAATTAGTGAGGAAGCGCCTAGGTTTAGGAGAGAGGAGCCACTGATTTGTAAAAGGCTCTGGTATTAAAGGCTCTGTTTGTGTTGTGAGGTAATTTTGGTAGAGTGGGTGCACCGAACGTAGAATTAATGGAGATGAGGCAGTTTTAAAAACCAAAGAGAACAAGTTTATTTTTAAACAAAGCGTATGATTGCAGTATGAAGATGTTAAGCTTGGCAAATACTTGATGGTTACATGTAACTTGGTTGCGATACAATTCAGACTTTCGATGTTACAACTTATGAACTCTTGCTGTGGTGAAGCACTTTATTAACCAGTGTTCCCTGCAGTGAATAGTCTCTCTGTTTGATCTATCCTTGATCAAACTACAGATCTCTAGTCTTTTTCCGACTAACGATCTTATCAAGCCTCTGTTAGTTCTTTCTAACTAAAGCAACTAACTAGGTTTTCCCCTTCAGCTTCCTAGCTGAAGAAATCTCTACTATTCACGAACACTAAACCCTGACTCTTCACTTCTTCACTCCTCAGAATCTAAAACCTGACTCTGCTTCTCTCTCAGAGTCTCCAGCCTGACTCTGCTGCTCTCTCCGAGTCTCCCGCCCGACTCTAACTGTCACTTTTCAAAACCTTCACTCCTCCCACCTCCTCTTCTGCCTCGTTTCCATGGTAACACATTTCTCACAGCTAGGCCGCTCCAGCCTTAGGGCAACCGATGCAAACATAAATACAGTTATAAGCATATTATTATAGACACTTCTGTACACATATATTAGAAACCAACACTTTCTCATTTATTTTCCAGATCACCAGACTGGGCCACAGCAACGCGTGGCAGGGGACAGCTAGTAAACATTAAAAACATTTATCTCAATATTAAAATACACCATTTAAAACCGTCTTGGTCATCAGCGTCAAATCTAATTGGCATGGTAAAGTTTCCTTTCCCTGTTCTGAAAGCTTGGTCCCACAGCCAAGTTTTGACCATCCTTCTGAAGGACAGGAGGGAGGGGGCCGACCTGATCTCAACAGGAAGGGAGTTCCATAGCCGAGGGGCCATCACCGAGAAGGCCCTGTCTCTCGTCCCCACCAATCGCACCTGTGACAGTGGCGGGATGGAAAGCAGGGCCTCCCCGGAGGATCTTAATCTCCACGATGGTACATAGGTTCCTGAAAATTGAGTTGGGAGGGGAAAGGAAGCCTGTCATGCAACAGACAGTAGATCAGGGGTCCACAAACTTTTTAAACAGAGGACCAGGTCACAATCCCTCAAACTGTTGGAGGGCCGGATTATAATTTGAAAAAACATGAGTAAATTCCTATGCACACTGCACATATCTTATTTGTAGTGCAAAATACACTTAAAACGATACAATAATTGAAATGAACAATTTTAACAAATACAAACTTATTAGTATTTCAATGGGAAGTCTGGGCCTGCTTTTGGCTGATGAGATAGGATTGTTGTTGTTTGCTTTCAAGTCATTTCAGATTTAGGTTGACCCTGAGCGAGGGCCGGGTAAATAACCTTGGAGGGCCATATCCGCCCCCCGGGATTTAGTTTGAGGACCCCTGCAGTAGAGTCTCGCTTACCCGACATAAATGGGTCGGCAGAACGCCAGATAAACAAAAATGTCAGATACTGCGGAGTCTCCGACCGTTACCCATCCAACACGGCGCTAGACGCCTAGAATATGAACAACAGGGACTCAAAGGGTTATATGCAAGGCAATGTCTTGGGGCTAATGTGGCCTAGCAGGAAGTGCCTGGATGGAGAAAAAGAGCGTGGAAATCACAGAGGGAAGGAAGGAGGAAGCTTCCACTTCCTGTCCTTCCTCTTTTCCCACTTTCCTCCCTCCTCCTCCTACTTGTCTTGCCCTTTTCATTTTATCACTTAGTAGAGCGCTCCTTTAATAAATGCTGGAGGAAAGGGGGTGTCAGATAAGATGGAATGTCGGATAAGCGAGACTCTATTGTACTTTTAAGTCATGCTCCCCATGCTCTGCCTTGGTCACACCACGTTACTTGGAATCACACTGGGTCCAATTCTGGGCACGCAATTGAAAGGAGATATCAACAAGCTGGAATGTTTCCAGAGGAAGAGGGCAACTCAAATGATCAAAAGTCTGGAGAACAAGCTCTATGAGGAGCGGCTGAAAGAGCTGGGCATGTTTAGCCTGCGGAAGAGAAGGCTGAGAGGAGATATGATGAGGGCCATGGATAAATACGTGAGGGGAAGTCATAGGAGGAAGCAAGCTTGTTTTCTGCTGCCCAGGAGACTAAGGCGCAATAGAACAATGGCTTCAAACCACAAGAAAGGAGATTCCATTTGAACATTAGGAAGAGCTTCCTGACTGTTCTGAGTTGAAATGTAAATATCTGATATGCAGGATGTATTTTCATTCACTGGACCAAATTTGGCACAAATACGCGATACACCCAAATTTGAATACTGGTGGAGTTGGGCAGGGGGGTTGATTTTGTCATTTGTGCATTGTAGTTTCTGGGATTTATAGTTCACTTACAATCAACGACCACTCTGAGCTCTACCAACTCCAAACTTGGCACACAGAATTCCCATGACCAACAGAAAATATTGGAAGGGTTTGGTGGGTATTGATCTTGAGTTTGGGAGTTGAAGTTCACTTACACCCAGAGGGCACTGTGGACTCTAACAATGATGGATCTGGACCAAACTTGGCATGGATACTCAGTATGCCCAAATGTGAACACTAGTGGAGTTTGGGGAAAATAGACCTTGGCATTTGGGAGTTGTAGTTGCTGGGATGTATAGTTCACCTACAATCAAAGACCATTCTGAACCCCACCAACAATAGAATTGGGCCAAACCTCCCACACAGAACCTCAATGACCAACAGAAAATACTCCATGAACACCATTCTGCCCACCACCCTAGTGAACACTTTCGTACGGGGACCATTTTATCCTAGATGTTCTGTTTTTCCTCCACCACAGACATCCCAGTGTTTCTGACTCTCCATTGATGTGGAATTTATATGGCTCCGCCCACTGCCTCTCCCTTAACCCTTTCCTATTCTTTTCTATGGCAAACAGAGGGATTGATCTGCAACTGAATATATTAGAGAGGTTTGGGGAGAATTCACCATGATTGATAGGAGTTGTAGGTCCTGGGATGTATCGTTCACCTGCAATCTAAGCGCACTCTGAACTCCACCAATGATGGGCCTGGAACAAACTTGGCATACAGAACCCCCGTGACCAACAAAAATACTGGAGGTCTTCGGAGGGATTTATAGGAGTTGTAGTCCACCTACATACAAAGCACACTATGAGCACAAACAATGATGGGTCTGGATCAAATATGGCATGCATACTCGATATGCCCAAATTTGAATACTGGTCAGTTTTGAGGGGAATTGGCCTGGACATTTTGGAGTTGTAGGTACTGGGATTTGTAGTTCACCTGCAATCAATGAGCACTCTGAACTCCACCAAAGATGGAATTG